CCCGACGTAGTCTGGCCAAACTAGGAATTCCCATATGTCATTTGCTGGGACTGGGGGTCTCTGAGGCGTGGTCGCGAGGATATCGCTTAATAATATGCTTAGTCATTAAGTAATTACAGTCAAAATTGTCTTACAATGCATATATTGCATAATGCACAGCTTCTGCAGCCTCTGTGGAAAACCATGGCATGGGAAACTCACCAGTTCCACTCAGGCCAAACACATTCAACACAGACTTTGAATCTTGTAATCTCTACCCATTATGTGATTCAATGATGCAAGCTACAGTTGAAAATACCTTATTGCATCACATTACAGTTGAAAATACCTTATTGCATCACATTATAATGCATAAATTGAATATTGTATAGCTTTCTGCCTAATCCCAGCTTGGGATAAGGGAATTATGCACAAAAATAGTCTATTGCATATTGTATCAAGATTTGTGAGAAAATTATGCAAAATTCTGAGCATTTTGGGAAGTTAGACTGCTTACTGTTGTGATTTTTGTACCCAGAAGCCTTACATATTGTTCTCTAACATACTTTAATACAAAAAGAATGTTTCTGATTGACATTTCATTGCTTACAATGTCTTTGATGCTGCCACAAGACCAAGATAGGGCAGCAAAGATCTCTTCATGATATGTGGGGGAAAGTTATTTGTATTGACTAGCTTTTTCTATCTTTTTGTTTCTACAGATTCTGACTGTATTTCCTTGTATTACAAACCATTTCTTGAGTTTTACAGTAATATACACATTTACTGTACTTGTCATTGTCTTGGTTGTCTTTCTTGATGCTCTGAATATGTGCTTATTTTCTTGTCATAGTGTATATGTCTTCAAATAAATTGAAAAGTAATATCGAATTTTGCGTTCCTAATTAAGTAATATTTTCGCACGGTTACCATAATGCATATTGCTCATATTGCATAGGTCTGAGGCCTCTCCCAACATTATGCAATAAGATATTTTCAACTGTATAATGCATAAATTGAATATTGTATAGCTTTCTGCCTAATCCCAGCTCAGGATAAGGGAATTATGCACAAAAATAGTCTATTACATATTGCATCAAGATTTGTGAGAAAATTATGCAAAATTCTGAGCATTTTGGGAAATTAGACTGCTTACTGTTGTGATTTTTGTACCCAGAAGCCTTACATATTGTTCTCTGACATACTTCAATACAAAAAGAATGTTTCTGATTGACATTTCATAGCTTACAATGTCTTCAATGCTGCCACAAGACCAAGATAGGGCAGCAAAGATCTCTTCATGATATGTGGGGGAAAGTTATTTGTATTGACTAGCTTTTTCTATCTTTTTGTTTCTACAGATTCTGACTGTATTTCCTTGTATTACAAACTATTTCTTGAGTTTTACAGTGATATACATGTTTACTGCACTTGTCATTGTCTTGGTTGTCTTTCTTGATGCTCTAAATATGTGCTTATTTTCTTGTCATAGTGTATATGTCTTCAAATAAATTGAAAAGTAATATCGAATTTTCGTTCCTAATTAAGTAATGTTTTCTCACGGTTACCATAATGCATATTGCTCATATTGCATAGGTCTGAGGCCTCTCCCGACGTTATGCAATAAG